CCCCCAAAACCCCAAAACCCCAAAACCCCAGATTTCAGGAAATGCACTGAATATGGGTTTAGAATAAAATTACTACTCATCAGAGTCAATAGGCTTAATTGTAGTGTAGATATTGACGCCTGTCAGGAACAGCCCCATTGCGGTACCGTAGATAGCAATGGCTAGAGAGAAACCAAGCTTCCACCATGCTTTACCTGCCTTATACTTCCTCATTATTATGAAATAGAACAGGCCAGGCAATGTGAAGTTTAGTATAGCGTTTGCAAGAGAGCCTACAAATTTGATAACAATTTCTACATCCTTAATTGTACATGCAGCAGTTACAACAGCTCCGTATGTCAGCAAGGTGATGAGATAGTATAGCCAGTTTGGAAGGAGATCTGCTGCTCAGCTGACTTCTTTCTCGAGATCATGATCTTTGATAACAAAGCTCTTCCTACTTCCACTTGCTCCGATTCCTTTGACACTAAAATAATGATATATGGTTGAATCACACAGGTAATTCACAAGAAATGTCTTAAGAATATATTGACGAAATGTTCTAAAAAGTCAAACCTGCCGTAAAGGTAAGAAATAAGTTAATAAATACCTAAAACTCATCTTATTGGCATCACCGCACATCACTGCCTTATCGACTGGGTCTTCGGGCTCATCATCCTTGTGGAATGATTTTCCTGCTTTATCCATGGAGACATCATCAGAGAGAAGCTTTTCTGTCTCATGTAGCCCTGTAGTGCTTTTTCTGGGTGGATCGTTTTCAATAACAATACTTTTTCTTAACTCTTCCTCCCGCTTACCTCTAATAAACAGAAGAGTCACAATAGCCAGCACTGATTCTTTCCCGATGAAAAGCACGAAGGGGGTATGAGTTGCTAAAACTACGAGAAAGATTGCTCTAAGTGTGTAAGATTCCCACGTCCTGACACCTTCTACGTTCCCGAGTACGTCACCTTGAATCCCGTTTCCAAAGGAGTAGAGGGACACGAAGGTCACTGCTGTGTAGATGAAGAATCAAAACCCCATTCCAAAGAAGGTGAATTTCATGCCTTTCATATACATCACTGAATCTCTTGGATCTTTCTTCAAACTATTGAATATTGGGAAGAAGGCCGACTGGAACCCATAAGCCACAAATGCAGTTGAGAGGGAAGATACAAAATGCATATCAAATGTAGTCAGCCATAAAGTATCAAACGAGGTATCTACATGCTCAAGTTCACTTCCATCAATGACTTTTAATAGGAACAGGAGAACAATGAACATAGAAACTCCAATGAACAAGATCACACCAGCGATTTTTAGCTCTTCAATTTTCTTCTTGATAATCATTGGTAGTAATACAACTGCAAGGAGAAGCACACTCAACCATTGAGATCCGATTACATTTTGAGAGTGGTCATGGACCCATTTGATTTCGTTAAAGAAAGATCTGAGCAGATTGGCAAAGATTATGAAATATGCTACAGGAGTTAACACAAAGGCAATGATCTGTAGAAAGTTGATCAGGTAGAGGGAGAATCTTCCGAAACATATGTACCCTTGCTCGGTCATAGAGAACTTTCCTGACACAAAAGCTCACCTTAGAAAGAGATGAATGGAGTATACTCAAGCTGCAAGGTTAAACACATTGTAAAAAAGCGACCAAATAATTCCTGAATCGAATGCAGCTTTAGGCACAGAGACCATGCCTGCCCCAATAGTGACACTGATCACAGAGAATGCAGCAATAGTGATGCCAATGGTGTGTTCTTCTTCCTCAGGAGTGCCCAGATTAATCGAGTTTGATTTCTCAGTCGTGCTCATATTGTGAAACTTGGTAATTAATATTAATGCTTATCAACACTGATGGGCTTAACTGGGGTTTTGGGGTTTTGGGGTTTTGGGGTTTTGGGG